GAAAAAAAGTTGCAAGTATCACATCGATTTTTCATAAGAAACTTCCCATATATTTTTTGTTTTAGTTGCAATCTATGTACGCACTCCCAACTGTAAGTGCTGTGCTGATGATAGCGCTATGCGGCACAGCGCAAATAAAGTCTTTGCTGGATAATCTCGAAGATGGACATTATGTTTGTGCCAAAGATTTCGACGAAGATGAGACTATGGCTGAGTTTCGAAATGCGTTGCCTGACGCTTCAGCTAAGGTGGAAAGTTACCTTGGATTGAAACTGGTAATCGACTAGCAAGTAATGGTGATTTAAAAAGCTAAGTCTCTTGCTTAGTCTGACAACGACGATATCAAAAGGTTTGAGATCAATTCCCTTAATCCAGAGAGGACATCCATGTATGTAAATGTGACCGAGGTAAGTGTCCTTGTTTGATGCAAGTTTTTTTTCTTAATTTGAATCCTGACTTGAGGACTCAAATAAGAAATGCCAGTTTTACCTATGCGAAACTCGCAAGATTGACAGGAAAAACTAAACGAGCTTGTTGTTAAAGGGCAGTTTTCGCTTGAAAAGTTAGCATGTCTGAATATAATGCTAATCAAGCTGTCTGTCTGACAGCTTGATTAGCATAATATTCATCTTGTGCACGATTTCAGAAGACATCCGGAAAGAATCATTTCCTTCGTCTGGATCTACTTGCTTCAAATCTTTGGCGTGCGCATAGGATCAGCCAAGAGGAGTTCAAAAAATGGGAAACTGCTTGTCCGCTTTAATTGTCAGAAACAAAACTTTTGACTGTTACGACTTTGTCGGTTTCAAGCATCTTCAGTTAGCTAGCGTAATTCATAACCCTAATATGTACTTTGCAGAACCAGCTGTCGCCAGAATTGTGTGAATCCTGAAAGCCCCCCCCCCCCATATGCTGAATGTTTTTCAATATGTGCTATATACTGAATCTTCAAACTAGCCTTACTATACGCATAATAATTTTACAATTAGACAGTATCGTAAAGACAAAAAAGTTCATTTTCCTTTTGTAAACAGTTCACGTTATGTGAATTCACCTAAGCGAAGTTTATCTGGTTACCGTATGGTTCAAGGTAGATTAAAGTCTGTACAAAGTGGTGGTATTCCAATCAATAATGGAGCAATGTGCAATCCCACAAATTTACGAGGCTAGAAGACATCATCCGTAAATGAGCTTATAGTAGTAATTGCAGCGTTTGTGCACAATGATATGTGAATTGAGTCATGCACAGCCTTTCTTAGCATGAATAGGTTAACTAATGTCCGCTGAATGGCTTTGTTTTTGCATGCGAGCATACTTTATAACAGTATGAGTAGCTGCTATTCAGCCATTTTTTTGTGGGAAAGTACTTTCAAAACTCTATTCTCAAATATCCATTAATCGATGTTAAAATCTTGATCAGTAATAGACAATAAGCTTACTCTTTATGGTTAGCTTTTCAAAAACCATTTTATGTTACTTACCCGTTTTCAAACTGTGGTGAATGCACAAGTAAAAATTTGGGAGAAGTATATATGATAGTTTGCATGATAAATCATTGTGAAGATTGTGAATTCTGAGCAGTTCGCGAATTTTTGTAGTTATAGTTGGAGACTTTACGACATTTGTGCGCGGAAATTAATCTTTGTGCAAGTGCAGACTGCTTGAGTTTCAGTGTTTATGGCCATGCAAACGATTGCAAATATCAGATGTGGATGCACTATCTGTACATCCTGAATCCACTTTAGGTTCGTTTTCTTTTGATTCTTCTCCGAGAATTTTCAAGAGTTTGGTGTGGGAAGCATGATGTTTCCACTCTGCTGCATCATTTCGTCATTGAAAAACTTCTGCTCAAGCGAAGTGACCTGATTTTCTGTGAATTACACTTTTTGTTGGCAGTAAATATTGAGTTGTTACATAAACCTTGTAACGTCAACTTCTTACGGCCGATAACTAGTGAAGTTCTTCTTTTTAATACTGTTTCAATGTACCTTCGATAAAGCAAAGCAAGCTTTACAAGATATTTGCAGAAGTTTGTGCCAGCTTCGACTCAGCGCAGGTTTACATCCAAAATCTGCATCGTATTGATGGTTCGGATAATCGCGGTTAATTTATATCTTCGGTCAAAAACATCCACGGATCTTCAACTTGCTCACACAGATTGCACACCATATCAGACTATATACACTATTCACGTACTATTTCCCATTTAGAAGTCGAGAAACGAAAATTTTCATACTTAAACAAAAAACGAAGCTATGTTGTTTCCACTCGAGTGTTTGTCCTCTGCAAGCCCTTGGGGTGTAAACATAAATTTCCAGCTTCCTTTAAGTTCTAGTTTTCGAAAATTACCGAGTAAAAACCTCCTCACTGTGGTGTTCCACGGTAAAACTAATATTTCTCTTGTCCATGTTTTTGGAAAAGCTTTGTCATTCTGCAACTGGCATCAACTCGGATATTTGCATGAAGCAAATCACTGATCGCTTTTATTTTACTTTATTTTATTTTATTCGATACGCTTTGGCGTTCCATTACAAACGAACTAAAACGCATAGTTTCTAACAAACTAACCACATCAATAGATTATCATGTAGTTCGGGTATGATTTTTTAACAAATCAAGTTAATTATATAGCTTTTGTGACTGCTGAATGACTAAAGTTCAATATT